CGGACGACCGGCCGGGGGGGGGCGGGAGGTCACTGTACCCGAGTGGCGAGGGGGCGGAGTCACTGTACCCGAGCGCGAGGGAGGGGCGGGGTCAGTGTATCCGGAGCGTGATGGAGGGTTGAAGCTGTGCATGGGAAGAGCTTTGCCTCAGGAGAGCGTAAGGACCCGTAAACATGAGCGAGGGCTGTTTCCGCACCTGGCTTACCTCCGCTTAGAGGAGTAGCCCTCTGGCACCCGCACCGTGCGGGTGTCTTCTCGTCCAGGCTGGCGCTCCAGCGGCTTCCTCTCCACTCCCTGCGGCGCGTCCCTCTGATAAGGGCCGGTTGGACCTGGAAGAGGAGTCACGGCTTTTTATTTAGTTGAGGTGCAACTGCCATGTAATGTTCTATTAGCTCCAGGTGCAGAACACGATGACTCAACATTCGTACGTGTTGTGAAATGATCCCGGAGTAAGTCCAGTTAACATCCGGGCGAGCGTCTTGTGAACCTGGTTAAACGTAGGAGCTTATCTCCCCGCAGAAATTGTCCAGCGTTCTGGTTCCTGGGGGAAATCTTCAGTCTTTCTTAGTGTCTTCCCAGGTGACCAAGATCCCACAGCCAGGGAATGCACTTCTGGCAGGGTTATTCTCTTGATCTTAGCTGTCAGAGAAAAGTGTGAATCCTGGAGTAAGGGATGGATACCTATTAGGGACTGGAAAGTAAATAGTACAGGTCCTCCCCAAGTGGGGTGGGGGGCAGTGGTAAAGTGGATGTAGCTTTTACAGCTTTTGGGGGGCATTTGAAAAAAAATGATCCAGATCTAAAATACACACACTGTTTGATTCAGAAGTCCCTCTTTCACCCTGGAAATGGCACTATCATGACTGCACAGACCTGTGCAGAAAAGAGCATTGTTCCAACAACAAGACGTGGACGTGTCCATCCATGGTGGGTGGTTAAGCCCACGGCAGTGCTTCCGCGGGGAGAGGTGTGCGCGGGGTGGCGTTACAGCAAGACAGCAGGGACAGGGGCTGCAGAGCTCTTGAAAAGCACCATGTCTGTGTGCGCGCCTGGGGGTCAGGTCTGAGGTCAGAGGAGATCAGAGGTAAGATGGGCCAGATGCTACTGGCCGCTTCGCTCTGTCCCCTCCCCTGCCTCCTCTGGGACTGCGCCCCCTTCTTCCTTGTTTCTGTGGATAAGATAATGTGCACACTGTCCAGTTTCTTTTTAAATTTTACTTTAGCCAGCTCTCCAAATTACAGCATGCTATCTTTCAGAGAGTGTTTTAGCACATCCGTCATTCAGAATCCACTTCTCCCCCAAATTAGTGTTGTGCAGAGTGCGTAGAGTCTTGGGCTAGCCAACCGAATTCTACCTAACTCAGAAATTCCTCCCGTAGACTTAAAAACACTAGTAATGTAACAAACCAACCCAACAGGGAGACGCTTAGGAACGTGTCCTTAATGCTGGTTTCTGAGGGGAAGTGTTCACTCCTCCGGGCACTGTTCATGGGGTACCTGCTGCGCCTGCCCTGTGGGTGTCTCTTTTTCCCTGGAAAAATACTGTGTCAGCTGGTGGCCCAGTGAGGGCGGGTTGGGGGTGGGCTCAGGCTGGGGTGACTGGGTCCTGTGCTCGGAGACCATGGGGCCGCCCAGCCCAGCGCCCCTGGTATGGGCAGAGCTCCGCACCCACACAGGAGGCACGGGAGGCACGTGGTCAGCTCAGCTGCGGTGTGGGGTGTGCCTGGTGGGGAGGAGGCAAGCCTTCTCTAGGCAGGGAGCTCGGTGTGGGACCCAGCGGGTCTCAGTGTTTACAGTGTGAAATGGGCACCTCCAGGGTAGGAAGGGGGGGATGATGACAGAGGTGTCACCCCTGTGGAGAGGCTTAGCATCGAGGCCTTGGGAGTCGGACGCCAGGTCTGGGTGTTTGGGTGTGTGGCCAGGCAAGGCCAGGCGCTGTGATCTCTGGCAGTGAGTTAGCGTGGCAGGGAGCCCGGCACGTCCCTGAGCCCAGAGCGGCTTCCTGGCCCAGGCACGGGGCTCCTCTGGCAGCAAGCTGTGCCCAGAGAGGGTGCCTCCCCCCGGGCACTGAGGTAGCCACACAGCGGCCACTGCCTGGTGCTGAAGGGTTACTCATAAGGACGCCCTTTCCAGAGACATCGTGCTTAGAAGCTGCTTCCTCCACAGGGATGGCACCTCTTGTCGGCAGTGGGGGAAGGTTTTTAAGGACAGATTTTACTTGATGAGGCTTTTTTCCACCTCCGAACACAGGACGTTCCCGGTTGAGAGTCATTTTGTGTTTTCTTAGTGATTGAATGAGGTTGGTGTCATGGGCCACCAAGCCCCCCGAGTTCTTGGTGCTAAGTGTCCCAGGAAAGGGAGAGCTGGGAGGTTGGCTCCCGCTGCGTCTGACGCAGGTCGCGACCCAGGACGAGGATGTGACGTGGAGCCGGGAATGGGCCTCCTCTCTCTCACCGTCCTTCCTTCTTCAGCGCAGCCGTTGGGAGCTGTCACTGCGTTACCCGTCAAAGACTGTGCGGACTCAGCAGGGCCGGGTGCTGGTGTGTGGGTCCCCTCGGGAAAACCCCGACTCTTCAGTGGGAACCGAGGCCGGGTTTCCTGATTTGGGATCCTCTCCCTCACAGAGCTCTCCAGGGCCCTGGTTCTGACAGAAATCGGGCCCAGACGTGATCCCGCGACGCTGAAGTTGTTCCTGAGCAACATGGAGAGGCTGCTCCGCGCCAGGGCCCACGGGTATGAGCCTCCTTCCGAAGCCCGCCCCGCTCCAGCTCCCGGGGCCAGGCGGGAGCCGGGCACCGCGTGCTGGGCCCCGGCCCCAGCGGGGAGCTTGGGTGGCCGTCAGGAGGCGCAGGGGCCCTGTGAGCCCGGAGCCCATGCACCCCGTGCTCAGCACCCTCGTGAAGGCGTGTGGGCGGTGTCCCAGTGCCCCGTCGGGTCCAGGAGACTCCTGTCCATCCCGTGCTCCCCAGGTCTGTGCTGTGACTGCAGCCACACCAGGCACTGAGATCTAAGATCCTTAAAGTCCCGCAGACCCGCACGTGGCCTCCTCCGTTGCACCAGCCACACTCCAAGGGCCAAGGCCCAGGTGCTGGTGGCTCCTTGGCGCTGGGCGCCTCATCACCGCAGACGGTTCTGTTGGGCCTCGCTGCTCTGGGCCCAGGGATATGGGGCTGGGAAAGAAGGCCCAGTGGCTGCCGTTGAGTTCCCAGGCTGCCCACAGAGGAGGCGCCTGGGGCTAAGTCAGCGTCTGCCCCCCCACCCCCAGGGTCCGCGTGATTGGCAGCTCCACCTTGGCGCTCTGCCACCTGGCCTCGGGCGCCGCTGACGCCTACTACCAGTTTGGCCTGCACTGCTGGGACCTGGCTGCCGCCACCGTCATCATCCGGGAAGCAGGCGGCGTGGTGATAGACACGTCAGGTGAGCCCCTGGCCCCATACGGAGCGTCCCCATCCTCTGCTGACAGAGACACCGAGCGTGTTGGAGGGCAGTGGGCCCAGGCTGCCCAGCTCTTCCCACTGCCCTGTGCCTCTAGACCCAGGGTCAGCACCAGGACAGGTGGCTGGGCAGTGACGGCACCACCTGTGTTTACATGATGTTCGACAGTTTTCTTAGCGCTCATGTCCCGGCCCCACCAAGTCCACTGAGACCACAGAGCAGGCCACATGCTCCCCGATCAATCACAAGGTTTTAGAGCATGAATCCGATAGGTGACCCATTCCTCTGCCGCAGGGTCACTGTGCCCAGTGACCGGCCCCCAGACATCCACTTGGCTTCATCTGACGTCAGAACCCACTTTTGTCCGCTTCCCTCCCAGTTTCAGCCCATAGCCCGCTGGGATTCCACAATGGACAGCGGTGGGTCCTTCTTCCCTTGCCCACTCCTCTTTCACTCCTCCTCTGAGAGGCCAGGTTGAGCTTCCAGAAAGGTGTGAAGTGAAGGGAGGCAGCCTCAGGTGTCGAGGCCAGGCTGGCCCATCTCACGTAAAAGCTGTGTCCTACTCTGGATGTGACCACATGTGCACATGTGTGCACCGAGGTCCCCAGAGGGGCTGGTGACACCTCCAAGAGGAGGCGGCCTTTGTCCTGCCCCAGATCCCGGGTCCCCAGAGCAGCTGCCTCAGGGCCGGTCAGGAAGGCCGCCCAGGCACCACCCAGACCTGCTGGGTGCCCGAGCCCCCGTGCAGCGCAGAGTCTGAGAACCGCTCCCTGCCCTGGCCTCACATCGTCTGAGGCTCAGTCCTGAACGCTGGACCTTAAGCCACTTTCTTCTGAGACAGTGCTGGTCGCTTGGCAGGGGAAGGACACACCCAGGTGGGGGCAGAACAGGGCCTGAGCACCGCAGTCCCGCCCATGCCGAGCAGGGTGTGTGCTGGGCTGCTGGGGGTTGTGCCGTCCCCTCCCTGACCCAGGCGTCCTCTCCTCTGTCCCCAGGTGGGCCGCTCGACCTCATGTCTTGCAGAGTGGTTGCTGCAGGCACGCGGGAAGTGGCGATGCTTGTGGCTCAGGCCCTCCAGACGATTAACTACGGGCGGGATGACGAGAGGTGAGGCCGAAGCACGGAGACGCGCCTGCCTGGACCACGCCTTCCCCAGACGCTGGGAGGCTCGGGCCTCGTCAGCCTGGGGCAGCCGCGGCGCCCGGCGCCCGTCTCTCCCGGGGTCGGGCTGGGCTGTGTGCTCTCTCATCTCACGGAGCCTTTTTCAGGTCTCACTGGACGCATGTGTTGATAACATGCAGTCTTGACTTTTTTCCAGAATGCAAATCTCAGGTAGTCAGGCTTTAGAACTGCCATTAAGTAGCCAGTGCTCAGCGCCGCCGCCCCGCCCCCGTCCCTGCCACGGTCACACAATAAACCAAATAGTGACGCTCTGCCCGGTTTCCCTCTACGTGCACGTTGTGTTTCCCCAAACCGCCCCTTTAGGGAGCTTGCGTGTTACAGCCCGAAGCCAACGTGTCTGCTGTGTCCACCACCTCTGATGGCACTGTTGAAGTGACTTTGGTAATTACCGTGTTAGTATTTAAAATCCAAGACACAGCTCAGAGGGGGGAGAAAAACTCACCAAAACCAAGCCTCGAAAATGCTGCTTTTGTGATCAGTTTCGTAAGAATAGCTCTCCTGAGGACGTTCACTGAGTGGCCAGGAGTCTTTTCTGAAGTTTAAGAATTGAGAAAGCCAGTCTTAAGACAGGAGATTCCAGCCCTGCTTAACCTTCTCCCTCGTGTTCCTAATTTGCCGACAACAGTAATTAGAATTACGAAGTGCTTGGAGGCACCCAGCTTCTGCCCTCCCGGCTCCTAAACTCCGGGGGTTGGCTCCTACGATGACCTGGGCATTCTCACTGGGCCGTGCCCCCGGGGAGCCCCGCGAGCCTGGAGGGGCCCCTCTTTCCTCTCGGAGGCTGCTGGGCCCCAGCACTCGTCACAGTTGACTGTCCCACGCCATCCGCCCCCCTCAGGGCAGGTGCACACAGGGCTGGCTCACACAGGTAGCAGACCCCAGGGGCTCCCAGAGGACTACCCCCCCCCCCGAGTAAACTTACCCCGGTGCCTTGCCTCCACTTCCCCTGGGGTCACGAGTGGATACATTCGCTGTCTTTAGGAAGGAGTTTCCTTTCTGATCTGAATGGGGTGCCTTGTGAACCCCCAAAGGCACGCAGGTCCGAGGCCTAGACACGTGAGGACTGGGGTCTCCTCTGGGCCTAAGGAGTCTGACACCACCCCATGCACGTGGGCCCACCTGGCACCCACAGAAGCCCTCAGACTGCGTGCGGGGGGGCCTTGGTGGCCACATGCTGCCCCCGCTGCCCCTGGGGCCTTGAGTCTCCCCTGCCCCGCCAGCCAGTGTCCAGCCCCGCGATGACCCCTGGTGTAGGCACAGTGTCCTCCGGCAACCACCCCCACACCAGGGTCCTTCAGCGAATTGGGATGTCCGCCTTTCCTGGACAAAGCGTGTCCCTGACGACGTCCACCCTCTGATTCTCACCTGCCACAGCACCGCTGTCCCGGCCATTGGGCTGTGGAGACACACATAGGACGGTGTTTTGTCTGAGCTGCGTTTCACCTCGTCACCTTTAGCCCGGGGCTGCAGCCCATCGGGGCCTGGGGGCTCCCATCTTTCTTCTAGCTTGAGGACAGTCTCTGGACAGGGATGTGGGCTGGGGTCATGACCAGCACAATCCCCCAGCACCGCCTCCCAGAACTTGCAGTCTCTGGGGACCCCACTCCCCGCCCTGGGGTGGCCGTTCGTGCCGCTTGTGAGCACGTCTGATGGTAGCACCGGCGGCCACAGGGCTGTGTGGGCTCTCGCCACCTGTCTCGTGGGAGTCTGGAGTCACCGTGCCATGCTGTGCTGATGCCCCAGCCGCTAGCCTCACATGGCTGCGAGAGCTAAAGTAACTGAGGGCAACATACATTTAAAACTCAGTTCCTTGGTTGCACAAGCCACGCTCCACGTGCTCAGGACCACGTGTGGTTCTGGCTGCCGCGCTGGGCGGTGCAGATAAAGCACAGGTGTTCCCACCACCTCGGCGTCTGATTGCTGCCCAGAGATATGCTTTCATCGTCTGCTTGGAAATACGGGTTATTTTATGTCTAGCCCTCCAGCCTGTGTTTTGTGGAATCTGCGTTTTTCCCTGGTTTCTGGACACCAGAGCGGTGCTTGTCAGTCTCCAGTCCCCAAGGCTCCCAGTGGTCTTGGCCACCATGCTTAACTTGCTTGGGGCGTGGAGCCGGGTTGAGAGGCCCAAGTGGGGCTGGAGCTAGGACAGCTATGAGCTGTGTTATCAGGAAGGTGGAACCAGGTTAGAGTCCTGGAGCTGCAGGCGATGCCCTGAGTCTGTGATTAGGACAGCTTTAGAGGGAAAGTGGCAGGGATGGGCTGTGCCTTGGTCGTGGTGGGGCTGGGAGAGTGGCTGTGGGTTGGGGGGTAGCCCCAGGTCTTCTCTAGAACTGGCTGGAAGGCCTGGCTCTTACCCCATTGGATGTTTCCACCACCAGGAGGCCGGCGGTCGGCTGCACAGATGGGCTCTGACTCAAGCTTCCTCTTCCCTGGCCTCAGGGGCGGCCTGGGGTGTTTGCCGAGAGCCTGCCTGCATGGAGGCTCCTGCGTGCCAGCTCCTCTCCAGGTCCAGGACCTCCAGTGTCCAAACTTCCTTCCCCTAGATGACCGAGAGCCAGGGCCACGCACGTGCCCGGCTGCATGTCCTGGAGGAAACTGGAGACATCCAGTTGGATCACAGTGCAGGGCAGCCAGCACAGCCACTGTTCTGCACCCGAGCTTCAGGGCAGCCTCAGAAAACAGCTGCTGTGGCCTCCCTCAGTATTCGCATTCAAGCACGTGACACGCACTGGTCTTCATGTTTTAGTCTTTGTGGGGGTGAGGCCTAAATGGAGCAGACTTTCAAAAGTCTAAACTGAGAACCAGATCAATGGCTGAAAGCTCAAGTGATCTCCAGAAGCCCCAGGCACTTTGCACCAGCACCTGGGTTCTCCGTGGATGGTGGGAAGGGCAGCCCCTCCCCCACAGGTGACCTGGAGCTACTGACACAGCCTCTCTGGGCCTCCCTGTGGACGGGTAGAGACGTGCTCCTCCTGGGTCAGACAGTGTGTGTACACACATGTGCACCTCACAGACGTGCCACAGGAAGACTGTGGGAGTGGGGACAGAGAGAGGAAAGGGCCCCCAGGCAGAAGAGAGGATTCCACGGGGCAGTGTCCCATCCACTAGCCGTGCAGGAGGTCATCGTCTTCAGAAGGAAAATGGTAATTCTGTGGGGCTCTGACAATGCCTCCAACTGAACAGGGGGGTCTTGGGGGCGCAATCACCTGGTAATGATCACCCAGTCCCTGGCCTACAGGGTCTCTGACACATTCCCCACTAGGGAAGCGATGGTACCAGTTAATTAACTCCCTTCTACCGCTGGGAGGAGGCTGAGTGAGGCCGTGAGTAGCTCAGGGCAGGGGGGATGTGACCTCACCGCCATTCCCTGGGTCCAGACAGCCAGTGGGCTGCGGATGAGGCCTGGCTCCACTGGGCCTGCCCCCGGCTCCTCCGTGTCCCCTGGGGTGGCCTCACTTTCACCCCCAAGTGCACACTGGTGCCTGGACAAGATCCACCAGAAACCATCTCAAGACAGGTTCGGAGGACGCAGTGCCCTTTCATCCTTGCTCTGGGTTTTGGTCTCGAACCATTGCTGCAAGAAGTGGCTCCATGTGCTGACATCTGGTTCTCCACGTCTCTGCGGGACGGTCCCAGGATGGCCCAGGACCCCTGCCCCGCCCTCACGGAGGCCCCACCTGGCCCAGGTGGCCAAGTCTGCAGCCTCTCCACCGTGGAAAAGCAAGTCTCCCTAGGAGACCAATAGCGTGAAGTCACACACACGGCGGGAGCACACTTTTTCTTGCTCAGTTTTTAACAACAAAAACTGGAAAGCCCTTACCACGCGCTGCTGTCAAGACCTGTCTCCGTGGCCACGTCCCTGCAGAGTCGGCCGTTAGACCCACAGAGAGAGAGCATTTCCTCCAGGCGGGGCGGCCAGCAACGAGGCCCCAGAAACAGTCGTGGTCAGTAGCTGTGGTGAAGGGCCACTCAGGGCCAGCACAACAGATGAAGGTCACCGGGCCTAAGAACCTCGCGAGAGACTCTGTGATTTGTGGCACAGACCGCTAGGCACTTGAAGACACCTGAGCACATCCCGATTTGCAGAAAGGTGGGGCGCGCAGCAGGCCCTGGGCAAACACCTGTCGAATTAAATGAGCATATCTGGAGGCAAGTCCTGGACAGGTACAAAGGAAGTAAAATAGACATCTTGGTAAAGACGTAGTCCAAACGCAGCTAGCACCTGGAGGCGAGGGGTAGGGACAACACTGAAGACCCAAGGCACGATCCACAACTATGGAACCTGGGAAGCAGCTCCTCCCTAGTAAGGACCACGGCTTCGCAGAGTTGAACTTAAAAGCACAGAGCATCTGAAGGCGGGGCCTTCTCCTGAGGCAGTGGGAGGACCTGACGGGAAGGAGCCACCTGGAGCCGTGGCTGGAGGGCAGGTGAGGGCAGGTGCGTCCCAGCTTTGTCTGTGGACCTGGAGGAAGTGGTGTTTGCGGTGGGAGCCGAGTTCCCAGCCCCCAGCCTCACAACATGCAGCGCCCCTGAGAGGGATCGCGGCGCCCCCAGACTTGGGAGGCGTTGCGCCAGGACCCACGAGGCCGGAGCTGCCTTGGGCGTGTGTGGGGCCTGTGAAGAGGACAAAGCTGCTCCTCTCCAGAGCTCGCAAACCAACAGACATCCCCAGTGGTGTCCCCCGGTTGCCCATGGACAGCCTTGGCTGGGGAGTTTATTGCAAAACACAGAATCCGAAATGAGGGGAGAGAGACGGGGAAAGAGGGCAGACAGCAGGCAGAGCAGACCGATGCCCAGCGGCCAGGTCTCAGGCCAGAGTGGGGCTCATTTATGGGCACCTCGCTGCTGGCGGCAGGTCCCTCTCCCGGGGGGTGGCGGCCACGTGAGTTGGAGGTGGGGCTGGGCCTGCAGTCAGGGTGGGAAGCCACCACTCCTGGTGGTCCAGAGGGCTCGTCCCTGGGCACATAGCACGACCGTTGCTGTCTCTTGGCTCAGAATAACCTCCAACTGTGTTTCTTCGTAGTCTTTGAGAAAGGCCCAGGTTTCTGCTCACTCGGTCGCTGCGTGGATGTCATTCTGTTACCGCACCGGCTTCAACAAATTTCTGGTCAGCAGCAAGGCCAATGTAGCAAAGGAAGGGAAAGGTGACAAATCAGACAGTCTGGCCACCCTGGTTCTATATTTTTAAGAAACATGATGCCCTGTCTGCACCAGTGTTCACAGCAGCACTGTTCTTCCTATTTTGACAATATTTATTGACCGACTCGGCGGACCCATATACCAAACAAGGGTCAAAATTGCAAATTTAATAGGAAAAAAAGTGGAGGGGCTTAGGAAGCCAATAATAATTAGGGTACGTTTCGCTTAAAAGCGGAAAATACTGCGTGCAGTGTGTCACTAGTGAATGCAGCTTGTGGACCACTGGTGCCCGCTTTCCTTCCCTCCTTGAAGTGCTTATCTGTTCGCATGAGCCCTGGGATTCCACTGTTGCAAATCGGCTTTGGTTATAAAGAGGCACGTGAGAGCTGCCTGCCTCTAGGCTGGTCCCAGGTGTTCCAGTAAAGAGGCAAAAAGGATCCAGGCCCATTGACACAATTTCCTTTTTTCTCTAAGCTGCCCTCTTTCTGAATTCTTGGTCACTGAATCCAGACACATCATCTCACGACTGTGCTTACTAATTCACAAAGTGAGAGCTGGAAACATATGCCCCATTGATTGCTCTAATATAAATCCTGCTGCGCGGTCAAAACCTTCCCTTTCACACAAGTCCTTTGGGTCCTGGCCCTGGTGCTGCAGGCAGAGCTTGGGCTGCCCCACCCCGGAAGCAAGCAGTGTCTGTCCTAAGAGTATGACCAACCCTGGAACAAAGGTGCTGGAGGCTGAGCCCTGCCGTGGTCCTCCTAGGGGCACCCCCGAGTCCCAGGAAGTGCAGGATACAAGGTGTGTGCAGCCTCCTCGCCCACCAGGCCCCAGACACTGAACTTTGCCAAGGAAGAGGAAGGCAGTGTCCAGTCGGGGCTACCCAGCTGGGCAGGTCAGAGGAGGGACAGCCGCGCAGAGTGGAAGTGGAGGTGCCAGGGACAGCAGGGGTGCACGCTCCAGGCAGCCTGTTGCGCATGTCTCTCCGCGAAGCCTCGGGCAGACTGGGTAGATTGTCCAGGGTCTCACCCCAGGCAGTAGCAGGGCCAGCACTCAGGTCCAGCTCTCCCACACACACCCCAGTGCACCCTCCACCCCTCCTGGCTGTGGTTATTCTGTGTGTGGAATTTCCAGCCTCCCCGACACCCCTTCCTCACCACGGGACTGATGCCCTGACCATAGCCCTGCTGTCCTGACTATGATCACCCCCCCATCAGACCTCTATTCCTCCTTCCTAAGCGTGATTCCTGATCTCCTGCTGGAAAAGACAGCTTAATCGACCACAGTGCTCCCCAATTTTGTGAAAATTCACCTCGAATTTTTATTACTCTGCTCATGACCAAGGCATAATCCTGCGTGTTTGTGACATGGTCTCAGAGGCACTGGAACCCAGACGTGCTCTGGTGGACGTGTGGTGCCCAGGCCAGACCTCATGTACAAGCCCCCATCACACCTTCCACACCTGCCCCCAGGAGACTGAGTTTTCCCATCAGAACCACGCTCCTGAGATTCGCAAAGGCTTCCCTCCATCCATATGCTTCTGCTCCCCCCCCCCACCGCCCTCCGTGCCTCTGACGTCTAACCTGGGCTGCACTGGAACAGGGCCCGTGCTGAGCAGAGATGTGGTAAGTGATGCCGAGGGAGAATGTGGGGAGGGGGGTGGCTGTGCCGGCCAGGCCCCGCCGCCCCGCCACCCTGCACCTCACACCTCCTTCTCCAGCTTCTTGGCGGCCACGCCCTTCAGAGCACAGTGCCCCCACTGCCCTCTGCCCTCTCTACACACCTGCTCATGTGTCACAGATGCCACTGGAGCAGCAGGGTGGCCAGCCTGACTTTCTGCCCGTCTCCCAGAGTGTGGCCCCTGGGCCCACGTCCTCCCCCACGTCCCCGTCCAGTGTGTCCCCAGACCCACGGGGTTCAGTATAATCTCAGCCTCAGCTACGGACGTGCTCCCCTCCTGTGTTTCTCACTCGGGGCACCAGCCAGACTGGGCATCGCCTCCAGCTGCTCCCTTCGTGTTCCTCACCATGTCCAGCAAGATGCTCCTGCCCCCACCATGCCCACTATCAGCCCAGGTCACCCCCGACATTACCCAAGGGCTGCCCTGGGCCAGTCCAGCCTCTGGGCCACCTCAGACTGTCCTCTCAAATCTGCGTCTGAGCACATCACCCCCATCTCTGCTGGGACCCACTGAGCGCTCAGGGCTGTGCAGACTCTTCCCGGGGAACTCCCGTGCCCCTCAGCCCCCAAACACCCACAGGTCTGCCTGGTACAACGCTCCCGTCCCACTGGGCATCTGCCCTTCCCGAACCTTCCTGAAACTGACCCGCACACCACTGCCTCACCCATCCTCCAAACCCCAGTCCCAGTGTCCTCTAGGGGCACCTTTGGGCAGAATTCATTCCTTTGTTCCCTTTGCAGTTGGCCCTCGTGTGTCCCTGCGGACACAGCACCTCGTTCACTCACCCATCCATCCATCCATTCACGGATGAGCCTGCACTCCGAGAGGCCCGAAACGGGTAAGTTACTCACACCTGCCGCCCTGGCTGGTTACAGCCCGTGCCAGGCTCCAGGATGAGCTGATACACTTGTATGTCTGTCCTCCACGGACGGTGCCGTGTGTGTGAGCCGTCATGATCTGACGGGCTGGGAGCCGGACTGCAGGCCCGGCCGTTCGTGGAGATCACTTAGGAAAGACGACGTCACCGAGGTAAGGACGGCCATGTTCCTGCTTCCTCAGAGTTGCATGTCGAAGGGTTTCAAAGAAAGGAGTTCAACTAAAACTGCAGATGAAACCCAGCACATGTGTCAGAGCACTAAGGGAGACTGGGGCCCGGCACGAGGTGTGACGGTGCTGGCGTCGTGCTCCTGTTCTGCGTCTTCATACTTGAACATGTACACAATAGAAAAATATCTTCAAAGGTGAGTTGACTCGAATTGACTGGACTGGTTTTCTCCTCTGAAACTGGGGGTGTGTCTTGGGGGGTGGGCTCTGACAGGATGCGGAGACTGGAAAGCCGAGAGGAGGCACCATCGGGCTGTCCTGGGGACGCCCTGGGGTGGCCTCTTCCTGGTCCACAGCTGGCCATCCTCTTGCTACAGAGGGAGCTCCCCGAGGTCTCTTTTATAGGCGTTAACCCCATCATGTGGGCTCCACCCTTGAAACCCAAGCACCTCCCAAAGGCACCACCTTCCAACGGGTCCACACTGGGATTTAGGGTTTCAGCATATGAATGGGAGAAGTGGGGGGGTGTGGGAGAGGGGCCGTAAAATCCCCTAAGGGCCAGGCTGCTTCCCGCCTCCCGCCTCCTGTGCCCTGGGCAGGAACCCCCTGTGCCCTGGGTTGGGGAGCTCCTGGCAGACCCTGGGGAGTCCAGGACTCTGGAAGGAAATCTCTCTTGGCTCCAAGACTCATCTGGCTGGTACCAGTGACCCTCGGGGGAAGACGTGATTGTTTCTGTGATTGGAAGGAGGAGGCGGGCAGCAGGGCCAGCTGTGCTGGTCAGGCAAGTCAGGACGGAGGCGTAGGTCAGGCTACAGCTCTTTGGAAACACAGCTCCCAGTAGGGCCCCCCGCAGCTGATAACTGGAGAGCGGATCACCGACCACTGTGGAGTGCAGGACCGCACGCTGGCCAGGCGTGTTTTAACCTGCCCGGATTGGGGGATGCCCCGCTCCTTAACATGCTCAAGAGAGTCTGCATCAAGTTCACAATTAAGAGTTTCATTCAGCCCCTGACAGCCCCCGCCCTTCTGAGGTCGGAAACACACCGAACTGCATCTTCCCATAGGGAGGTTTGTGCAAGCAGGACCTGGGTAGGTCCCACGGCCTCTCGCCCTCCTCACTCTGAGAAAGCCGGGTCCCTGTAGCTGAAGGATTGTCAGTGAACCCCTCGGGTCCTTCCCCAACCCTTACCCCGTTCCCAGAGCCCCTGAGCGCTGCTAGACAGCCCGTCGGGGAGCCGCTGGGGGGCCTGCGCGCATCCCGGCCTCACTGCCCCCCTGAACCCCCGGGTTAAAGCCCACACCACCGTTCTTCAGCCGAGGCCATCTGCTGGGGTGATGATGCCCGACTGCCCCAGCCTCCAACAGGCCGACCAGCCACCACCGAGGGCCCGCAGAGCATCGGGGCCGGGTGGTGGGGACGCTGGCTCGTCCTGGGCCGCTGGAGCCCGAGGGGCGTGGGCGCGGGCGTGGCGGGCGGGGCGGGCGGCGGCGCTTTAAGAGGCGGCGCGCGCGCGAGGAGGCCGTGCTGGCCGGAGACCCGAGCGATGGAGACGGCCTGGGACTGCGCTGGAGCCCTCCTCAGGCGAGTGCCACGCCGGCCGGG